TCAGTCATGAGGGATGCCCGCTGCAACATCTCCACATAGCCAGCTGCTGTTTGACGCCCCTGCACAACCTGAAGCTCCATTGTTCCTTTGAAGGAAAACGCACCCCAAATCATGATGATCGTCCCGTGTCTTGACGGACAGCCAATCGGATCCTGCGGCTCAGAGCTGGTGACATTTTTTTGGGTCTACCACCTGACTTTTTTGTTCCATAACCCTCAGGATCATTTWAAAAATGCAAAATGTCTGTCTTACTGCGTCCAACTTCAGCAGCGATGGCACGTTGTGAGAGGCCTTGCTTATGCAGCTCAACAACCCTACCACGTTCAAAGTCAGTGAGCTTTTTTGCTTTTGCCATCAGGAGGTCTCGACAGTGTAAAGACTTGACAAAAAACGACATGGAATCCAGATTTTTGCACAGCTTTTGGCTTTTAAAGACTACGGTCTTAAACTTTTGATCAGCTGAAAAAATCATGTTTGAGTGTAAATGCAGTTTTCAGAAAARTCCCTGCTCAAAAGTTCTTGTCTCTTGCTCTGATTTCTTCTTTTAACATTGTGAAGCTCTACTTAGAACCTTCTGAAGATCCAATAGTGCAAAATGCAAATTCTTGCACTTTTTTGACTGGTCTTAAGATTTTGATCAGGAGTGTATTGTGATGACAGCAGCTACTTAAGCTGTAAAATCACTACCCACCTCCTCTATCCAAGCCAGCACAATTTATTCAGAATCAGAAATACTTTATTGATCAGAGGGAAATTACACTGATTACCGCTGCAACCATTAAAGTAAGATTAAGTAGAGAATAAAGATAAATGCTCCAGATTAAAATGACATTTAAACACTTTAGACAGAGATCTTTAACCCTGTTTCTCTTGACCCACTGTCCTGCATGTTTTATCTGTTTACCTGCTTCAACACACCTGATTCAAATTTAATTTCCCACTCAATGTCATCAAGTTAAACAGAAGCCTGTCAATCACTCATTCATTTCAGTCAAGTGTGTTGAAATAGAGAAACGTAAAACATGCAGGACAGTGYGTCATAAGGTAAAGGTAAAGGTAAAGGTGCTTTATTTGTCATCAGTGTATGTTTCCACACAATGACGAAATTGTGCTCTGCATTTAACCCATCCACACCCAAGTGGAGCAGCGGGCAGCCATGTGAGGCGCCCGGGGAGCAGTGAGGGTTAGGTGTCTTGCTCAAGGACACCACGACATGTGGGTATGGCGGGGAGTCGAACCTAAGACTTTCGGGTCCCAAGCCGGCTGCTCTACCACTATACCACAGCCGCCCCTGTTCATAAGGAACAGAGTTAAAAACCTCTGCTCTAAGGAAAAACGCTGTGTGAAATACGTACAGTATGGTTAGTAGCATGTATACCGTATGAAAATATAACTTTGTCTGAGGCGTTGCCACACTAGACACCTCTAGATAAAAGCCTGACTACAGAGCAGCTGGTCCAGATGTGGTTATGGTGAAACAAATAAGAATACCTCAGAAAAACCAAGCTAACTCTTTGTTCTTTCACAAAACGGTTCAACTAAATGGGCACACAGAACAACTTGTTTAAGCTCCTTTGAACTGTTCAAAACTCTCAGATGTAGCCGTTCACGTCTCACACGGACATGGTTTTTTAGAAATAAAGAGGGTTCTGCACCCATTATATGAACACACATAAATAGTTCATAAATGAAGTGTCCTAATGTTTCTTGTTCTGGCAGRGATCCCTGGGCTCTGCCAACAAAAYTACTTGTTTTTAAATTAACAAAATCTCTGATCATTGCTGGTTTTACAGTGAGTCGTATCGTTTTGTAGTGACAATTTGTCACACAGCAAAAACAAGGGGTTTAATCTCTGCTGGCATAATGATTTTTCAGTAATAAACACATTTGAGTGTGTTGTATCTTTATAGATGCATTCAAAACTGTAAAAAAGTGTTTATTAATATTAAAATCAGCTGTTTTAAGTCACGGTGTCTAATTAGCCTGTATGCTAACTTTGAATCTGTTCATAATCTTGGTTGTAGTCTTTACCTGAGCTTCAGGTTAACTGCAGAGTCAGGATATATTTTTACACTGACGTTTGTGATGGATGTGTTAAATTGGTCCAAGTACGTTTAAAGCTAAATAAAATGACAGACCTGCCATATTGATAGATTTGTGTTATTGAAAATAGCTGGTTAGACAGTCAAGAGTCAGGTTTAATTTATTGTTTGTTGTTGGGCTGAACKCTTTTTTCCAGCAAGGCATGGATGAAAAATCATTTATAACATGTTTCTTTTTAGCTACAATGCTTTAAAAGCTCCAAAAATACACGATTGACTGAACCTACTGGTATTCTCTTATTTTAAAGACAGTTTATAAACAAAGATGTTTTTTTCCTGTTCTAACTCTGGACTAACCACATCGGTGCCCCTGTTTGTTACATATCTGATAAAAGGGGGCTGTCCCTTTTTATTTGACTCAAAACCAAAACGTGCCAACAGTGAAGTCTGTAATGTTTGTCTTTGCAACAACAATGTCCTAAATGTCATTGTTTTTTTGTTTAAATAAACTCAAGGGTTAGAGTTTAGTCACTTCAAGATTGATGGTGTCAATAAACAGCAGCAGAGAGGTGCAAGTGGAGTGGAGAATATAAACTAATGATTTAAGTAGCTTTCTGTTGCCTGTTTTATATAGGTGGATATAAACTTAGTGTGGTTTAGTGCAGCAAAATGTTACACGTGAAATAATGTAACACATTTGTGCTTTAGTTGCTGTGCAAGATTAGTCACTAAACCRACGTTTTGTTTGACTCGATTATCTCAAAACCAAAACAACAGAACACCCGCTGCTGTCACGTCTTGTACTTATATTTCATTTTGTTGAAAGTCTAGATTACTACTAGATTACAACTTTCACTCTGACGCTCACGAGCATCCGTGGTATCAAATCTCTCCGTTTCTCTTTCTCTCCCCCAGTCTCAGGGCTCACCATACTCAATGAGCGGACAGCGCAATGTCAGAGCGCTCTGGGCAAACTGCAAAGGGGAAGGAAGGCAAAACCAAGTATGCGTCTCTCAACTTGTTTGATACATACAAAGGAAAGAGCCTTGAAACACAAAAGCCTGTTGGTGAGTATCACGAGTGCCACGTCCAGTTTTCTYTGTACTTTAGAAACATTTTGTCTTGTGCTCTGTGTTCACTCAACTCCTGGTGAGCTTCTGTTTGGCAGAGATWGTTTTTCGTCGTCACATATTGTCTGTTAGAGAGTTTTATAGGCAGGAGAAAAATGTCCGGGAGGATAGAGGAATGGCTCCTGAGTCAGCTAAGTCTCGGAGCCACCTGTGTCGGAGGCTTACTCGTGAATGCTGTTTGACTTCTGTTCTGAGGCCCCAGTTTATGTTTTATTCAGAGGCTTCCCACCACAACCAAGCAGCTGTCCTCATTCCCAGACCGCCCCACACACACAAAATTCATCCACTGTGCGGGATTTTATGTCTCTTTAAAGAACGATAAAGTCACCTCGTAAACTCAAAAGACTTCTTTATTTATTCCCAATATTCTATAATATTTCAGGCATTTATTTGTTTTTAATCCCTAGAAACAAAATTATTAAACTAATACTATCAAGGTTTTGTAACCTAAAGCTTCTTCCTCATCTGAATTGCTAAACCCGTCAACAAACTCGATCCCAGACCCAGTATTTTGCAGGTGTCTGGTTTCAGTGGGTCCATCTGTGCTAATGACCTCCTTTTCTCTTTTCTGCARCAGTTCCCCCCCGCCATGGCCTGCAGTCTCTTGGTAAAGTTGCCTCCGCGCGGCGTATGCCACCCCCTGCCAACCTGCCCAGTCTGAAGGCGGAGAACAAAGGCAACGATCCCAACGTCTCGCTTGTTCCCAAAGACGGCTCAGGATGGGCAAGCAAACAGGAACCAGCAGACCCAAAGAGGTAACATGCAGCGTCAACGACAGGCGGCGGTTAAATGTAACATCTGGTTCTGTTTAGCTCAGACGCCTTGTTTATTTATTTATTTATTTATTTATTTACCCCCCTCAGTACCGATGCATTGTCAGCAGCGCAGCCGGAATCGCAGCAGCCTGTGGCTTCACAGATACCTGCGCCGACCTGTCCGAGAACCCCACCAGCTCCAGAGGTGAGGAGGACCTACTATGACATGATTCTGTGTCAGTAATCATAGCCGATACAAAACCTGTCGTGTGTTTCTTCAGCCCCCTCAGGCTCCGCCCCCAGCTCCAACCCAGGCCGTAGGGGTAAGGTCCTGGGCACAGGCCAGCGTTATGCATGGAACACAAGGAGATGGTCAGTAGTTTTGTCTTCTTTTTGTTTTAAGTAAGTTTTTTTGCATTTCGTTGTTACAATTTAAACTTTTCCGCAGGTGGAAGGGGATCAAACCTACCGTCGCCATTCTCTCGCGAGGAATTTCCCACCCTGCAGTCGGCTGGCGACCAGGACAAAGCTGGCAGAGAACAGGCCACTGCAGATCAGTGGTATGGGCCCGGACCAAGCCTCCGCCCTCAGAGTGAGCCATTCCCAATGGATGTTGTTCAGTCAGGTCAAGTTTAACGTTATTTGTAACGGCGTTAACGTTACTCCTGTTCGCTGTCCTCAGACGTTACAAGTTGGCGGGACGGTGGGGGCCGAGGCCTGGCGCCCACCATGCCTGGGGAGGGGGTGGTGGAGGGGGGAGCAGGTGGAGTTCTGGTGATGGATGGGGCAGCTGGGATCCCCGCTCCAAACACCCAGATCCAAGGGCCACCTAGAAATCCTCCTGCAGGCAGCCCCGCCTTGCCTCTGCCTCAGCCTCCTGTGGGGCCTGGCTTTCCTCAGTACCGAGGGATCATACCTCCCTTCGTAAGGAACCTTTCTCCTGACCTTTAGTTTTTACCTGTATGAGCTGTGTTTTATGTTCATCTTCCTCTCCTTAGATGTATCCTCCTTACCTGCCCTTCCCAGGCCCCTACGGCCCTCAGGGGCCCTACAGGTACCCGCCACCTGGAGAAGGACCGGCTCCAAGGTAGGATTTCTTTAGATTGTATCTTAACACACTTTTTTAAAATAAAGTGGTCCAACTTTTGTTTCTCCATGGTGTTTCAGGTTCCCTCGTGGGCAGGGTGGTCCTGACGGCAGGCCACAGGGTGGCCCGCYGGACTCGGGTGGAGAGGCGGTGAAACGGCCCTCCATCCTGAAGCAAGATGACCTGAAGGAACTCGATGAGCTGGACCACGATGGCGACGATGGCTGGGCAGGTACGYGAAAGTCCCTGCTCACACCTGAACATCTAATGTGCATAAAAACATAAAAAATAATACTTTGAAGTAGTTTTAGTAACTAAAACTAGGAGTCATAAATGATGACGGTTTCACCTTTTTTATTTTTTACAGGCGCTCATGAGGAGATTGATTACTCCGCCAAGCTGAAGTTCAGCGATGACGAAGGTGATGAAGAGGGAGACGAGGAGAAAACTGAGAGCAAAAATGACTCACGGTACGGAAGCGAGTAAATTTATTAGTTCATATCAGTAAAATACAGCTTTTGACCTTCATTAGACACGTTTTACTGCCGCTGAGCTTCTTTTAAATTTTGTTAATGTTTTTGCACTCAGTGAGCAGCAGAGATCTCAAGATGCTCCCGCTGCAACCTCTCACTCTCGGGCCTCGGACAGCGGCGGAGAAAGCCGTCGCACARCTCCCTCCAACGCTGACGGCGCCCCCCAACCCCCCTCCAGCAAGCCAGGATGGGCCGAGGAGGGGGGCAGCGGTTGGGCGAGCCAGGGAGCGATTTCCAACTACCAGGTAGTTTGTCTGACAGCATCAACAAYGAGCTGCTCTGCTCCACTATCCGTTATAGGCTTAAGACTTAACATAAAATAATATTTTAATTAAATATTTGTGTTTTCCTACAGCGCACATTGTAGCTTTCAACGTAATTTAAAGAAAAGTTGCGTCAAATAAAAATGCTTATATATAAATACATTTTTTCTGCAAAGTACAGCATTAAAAAAACATTAGAAAAAATAATTGGGTGGAAAAAATACAGAATAGTTATTGAAACTCTAAAAAAGCACGCTGTGTTGCACTAATGGCATCCCCGGGGCCACATCAGGCCAACGGTTGGGCCCACCGATGAGTTTATTTAAAATAAAACTAGAATTTAAATAAAAAGATTATTAAAATCTGAGTGAAACATTTAAAATAAATAAATGACGAACATTTTCACCAAAGAGGCGATTCAGTTAGATGAATATTTGTTTGACTTAGTCATCCTGATTTTGAGTTTATTTTAAATAAAACCAGATTTTAATGACAGTAATTACAGAATAGCCCTGATCTGTGTTTTAAACCACTCAGTAAGTTTCATAAATTCATTCAAAAAGAACAAAAATGTTCTTTATTGTCTGATTTATACTGATTCATTACAGCTGCTGGGTTGATAAAGTCTGTGAGACTTTTATTGAGCATGTAGACGTATTAATCAGGAAGCAGCAGTCGGAGCTGARGTTACACAGCAGATAAAGGGATCTTCATAAACCTGGTCCCTGTCAGGACTTTACCTGATACCTGACATCAGATGGGGACCTCTTCCTGTTTGAATTCTTGTATCCGTGCGGATCCTCACGGTGGAAAGTGGTTAACTGTCTGCCTGTATACAGGGACGCAGGCCTGGACTGGGTGGTCCCCGGGAGCAGCCCTCCCCCCCACCTGGGCCTCTCCTTGGACAAGGGCCCTACTCCTTTTACCGACAGGTAGACACCTGACCAGGGCCTCATAGACGAGTCATTCCTCTCATGACCTCATCCACAGCTCACGGATCTGACAGCAGTCATTTTTGAGATTTTAGTTCGCCTTTTTTTCCTGAGTTTTTATCATTTACGACGTCATTCATCAAAAAGGTTTTTTATTAAATCTGCGCAGGATTTAAATGTGCGTCACATGAGATTAAATCTGTTGCAAACGTTTAGGAACGGCCACACAACCAGGGTGCTCCTCCCGGCCCGGGGAAGCCTGCTCCTGCCCAACATCAACCAGCAGGAGGTCCCGCCTCGTCCCCCCAGCCTGGCCTGCTAGTCCACGGCTCCCAGGGCGACGACGAAGACGAGACGTGGCGCCAGCGCCGAAAGCAGTCGTCCTCCGAGATATCCGCCGCCGTGGAGCGAGCGCGTCGCCGCCGGGAGGAGGAGGAGCGACGGATGGAGGAGGAGAGGCGCGCCGCCTGCGCCGAGAAGCTGAAAAGGCTGGACGAGAAGCAGCAGCAGCAGCAGGGCAGCGGCGCAGGAGGAGGCAGCAAGACCCCCAGCCTGGATGGAAACTCTACCGCTGCTACCGCCGGCAGCCCCAGCCCCTGTGTTTCAGCATCCTCTCCCAGCGTCAGCCAGCCCCCCTCCCCTTGTGTCGACACCGAGGAGCCTCCGGTGCTGGCGGTGCAGCCGGGTCCTGCTGCAGGAGGAGGTGACCGGCGGAGAGCAAGCAGCAACAGCAGCTACGACTCCAGCGCAGGTGAGTTTCGCACATTTACACCAGAGGAGGCTGTTTGTTCAACCTCTTAAGACTCAAGGGGTTTTCTAGGTTTTTTTTCTCAAAATACCATCCTGAAATGTAACTGAGTTTATCTCAGCATTTAGAAACTCTACTTAAATAATCTTTGTATCAAAATAAAGCGAACATTTGGGAGATTTCATCAGAAGTGTTAGTATTAACACAGCTGCTGTTGTTTTAGAGATATTGAGGATGGAACACTATTTTTTATTTTTTTATTTTTCACTCTCACCTGAATAATTTTTGCATTAGACAGTATATAACCCATTTAAAACCATAATGAATCAGACTAAAATCTCTTGGAAACCATAAATCCACTTGTAAGATTCATGCTGCTAAAATGAACGCAAAGTTACAGAAGTTTTAGTAAAGAAATAATTTAGCGTTTTGTCATTCTGCACAGGACAGACCGTGATGATACCATTAATAAATGTTAAGGAATCTTAAGTTTTTACATCCAAAAGTTATTTATTTTTTCTTACCTGCCTTAAAAGACTTTTAAGGTTTTAAGACGTGGAAAAACTCAAACTCGCCTGCGCTGGAGTRGTAGCTGCTGTTGCTGCTTGCTTTAAAAGTTTTTTGTTTTTGTTTTTTTGTCCAGATGTCCAACAGGTTCCACAGCCGGCTGCTCCACAGCCTCAGCCGACCACGCTGGACYTTCCTTCACCGGTGGAGGCTAAAGAAGAGGCCATGGCCAGCCCTCACATTCGAGTAGGAGGTGCAGCAGAAAGGGTGGTCGACCCAGTGAAGGTGGAGAACTCTGGCGTGGGAGTGGTCCGTCAGTCCGGAGTTCCCCCCGGCCCGGGTTACTCCAAGTACCAGAAGTCTCTGCCGCCTCGTTTCCAGAGGCAGCAGCAGGTCAGAATCAAACTGAGCTGCAGGTTTTGGTTTCACTCTCAGCGTTCACGCTGCGTTTGTGTTTTTAACCTGACGTCCGTCTCCTCTTCAGGAGCAGCTCCTGAAGCAGCAGCAGCAGTGGCAGCAGCAGCAGCAGCAGCACAGTCAGGCGTCACAAAGTCAGCTGTCCCCTCAGCCCCAGGCCCCCTCGCCCGGTTCAACCCCCCAACCAGGACCTGGACCAAAGCAGGGCGGACCCATGTACCAGCCCGGCAGCATGGTCCGACCTCCACCTCTGCCCATGAACTTTGACCCTCGCTGGATGATGATGCCCTACATGATGCAGGGTCGRCCCCCGCCCATGGATTACTACTCAGCCGGCATGCACCCGTCTGGTGAGGAGTGAAACGGTTTATTAATTTTAATTAATAAAAGGCTTCAGTCACCTAACGACCTCTCCTTTCAGGGCTCATCGGTCGTGAGAGATCCGACTCAGGAGGGTCTGGGTCAGAACCTTTCGACAGGCAGCAACATCCYGGTCACCCTCACCGTGGAACCCCCCCAATGGATCCTAAGCTGGCCTGGGGGCCGGAGGTTTTCTCCGGTGGAGGAGAGAGTCACGGCCTGACGTCTCCCCTCAGACAGAAACAGGCACTCGAGGAGGAGGACGTGGGGAAGGCTTCCAGGTATTTAATTTATTRAAGACGCTAACAGAGTTCATGCAGGCTCTGAAAAAGTCTAAAATTAGAAAATCAAAATTTTAGGCCTAAAAAAGTCTTAAAAACACCCAGATTTTCATCCAAGGTCTTAAATTTTATTATGTCAAGTCTTAATTTTTTTACTTTCGATCATTCCTGAGGAGTGTCGGCTGCACAAATAAACAGAGTAGAGAGCCGTAATTAGAGATCTGTCTTTATTAAGGCCTAAGTTTGCTTTTTGTCCTGTGATAACTGCAGGCAAAAAACAGCACAGTTTGCTTCAATGTTTTCAACCTCTTTGACGCAACAACACCCCCCCCCCCGCATACGCTTGTTCTCCTGCCCAAAAAACAAAAGTTCAGTCATGTCCACTGCTTGTGGTTTAAACACAGGAAAGTGTGTTTTCAATCAGACTTGGCTGATCTCAGTGATTTTTTTTTCACTCAGTTGGAAGCGGTCCACAGCAGTCGATATGAGGGTCTCAGATAAGACTTTTTATTTAAAAAATTAGTGTTCTTGTATTAAAATTAAATATTCTTTAATAGCTAAATTGATAGCAATAAAAGGTTTCTATTTTAAATTTTCTGGGACCATTTGAATGTTTCTGTTAATGCATTGGTTCAGTCGTAAATGTCAGTCCTGATGGTCTTAAAAGTCTTTAAAAGGTCTTAAATTGAACTGAAACCTGCAGGAATCCTGGTTAAGATTTTATTTGTCTTGTTTTAAAACTTGTTTTTCTTTCAGGAGCGACACGCCTCCTCACCGCTTGCGAGAGTCCGGTTTGGGACCAGTCCAGCAGCCCAGCTCTTCCTCCGGGGCGTCCAGTCAGACTCCCCCTCCTCCTGTGGGCGCTCAGGTCGGCCCCCCGGCAGGCGGCCACCACCCCCATCACTACATCGGCGGGCGCAGTGGCTACAGCAACTTCCCCGACCAGAGCGTAAGGGTGCCCCTCCACCAGCAGCAGCCGAGGCCGGGCGAGCGGGGCTTCTCCCACCAAGATGAGGGGACGCCCCGGGGGGCTCAGCAGATCCAGATCTGGGGAGCCCCTCACTCTCATTACGACCGTAACGGACGGGCCGACGTCCCCGCCGTGGAGGGCAGCGCCCACCTCCACCACCATCACCACCCTCAGCCTCAGTACCCGCTCAACCCCCACAAGCCAGAAAGCAAGAAGAACGACCCGTCTCCTCCCCTCCACCAGCCGTCCCTGTCGTCCTCCTGCTCCTCCTCCTCCTCCTCCTCTAACAGGGAGGAGAGTAAAGCAGCTCAGCATCATCACCCGCCACAGCGGGACGGTGATTCCGGGATGGGTCTGGGTGAACGCGGCGCCAGCAACAGTCACGTGAAACCAGAGAAGACGGGTCCGACGTACGCACCCCATCCCTCCATCCTCAGCAACCAGACCTCGTCTCAGAACCACGCGCAGCAGCACCCGCATCCCAAACCCAACCAGAGAGGAGGGCGCGAGCACAAYACGGAGACGCAGTGGGGCCCTCGGCCCGGGAGCAACAACATGGGCAGGGGGTCCTCTCARGCCAGGAGGGTCACCAATGTAGGAGGTGGGAACAACCCCCGTGGAGGGGAGGACTCGTTCAGTACCCCGTCGGACCATAAAGCCTCCAACCACACAGGAGGCAGCAATCCCAACAAGAGGGCCGGTCCGATCAAGAAGCCGGTGCTGAAGGAGGTAAAGAGAGAAGGAGGTGAAGTTAACGGAGCAGAAAAAACAAGCGCAGGATCTGGAAAAGATAAAGATCAGGATCAGCCCCCCTCTGTGAAGCAGGACGCCCCCCCTCTGTCCCAGAATGCTCCGGCTAAAGACGAGACGGCCCCGACGGCTAAACCCAAGAATGGAGGGAAAGAGCGCCCCTCGGGTCGAGGGTCCAAAGATGTGGACCCCACATCTTCAGGATTCCCTTCTAGGAAAGACCGAAACCGATCTTTCGAACGAGGCGGCGGCTCCCACCACCCCGGAGTCCCCACCAAAGGTGGCCGAGGCGGCACCAGAGGACGAGGAGGAGAGTTCTACGGGCGAGGCCGTGCTTACCGGGGCACCTACACGGCCAGCGCCGGACCAGCCGTGGTGGGCCGGGGCAGAATGGGCGGCAGGAGCGGTCGAGACTACCGCCCCTCTGTCGGCGGCGGCCACCACCAAGAACCCAAAGTGGACGGACCGGGTCGACACGGTCAGGAGAGGTCCCAGCATAACCCGGCCAGAGCCAGAAACCACAGCGAAACCCGCAGCGAGGGCTCCGAGTACGAGGAGATCCCCAAGAGGAGGCGGGAGAGGGGCTCTGAGACCGGCAGCGAGAGTGGAGGCAGCGACCCGGCTCACTCTGACAAAGACAACAACCAAAAACCCGCCTCCAAGAACTGTTCTGACCACGTCAGCGCCGCAGGAACCGTCTCCTCCACTCTGCCCCGGGTTTCCCAGGCCCGTGTCTTCACCCCGAGGGGCGTGCCCTCCAGGAGGGGCCGGGGCGGAGGGGGCGGCGGAGGGGGGAACGCCTACAGAAGTAGCGGCAGCGTCGGAGGAGCACCTGGGGGACACCGGCTGGGACCCGGCTCAGGTTCTCACACCGGGTCCACCAAGTCCACGGGCCGTAAACAGCAAGGTCCACCTCAGACCTCTGGACCAAAAGACCCGGGTCGAGGAGGAAGCGCCGGAGACAAAAAGGACAAGGTACCTGATGGAGGTCCAGCTCTGAATCAGGGAACTAATCCCCCTCAGCCGTCTCTGCTGGCCCCAAGCCCCCCTGCTCTGGCTTCCACTGAGAACGGGGGGCCGACGGCCCAGCAGCCCCCGACTAATCCTCCACCAAACCCTGTCGGGCCCAACGCCCCCGCTCAGCCCACAAACCGAGGCCACCCCCCCGGCGGGTTTGAGAGGCCCCCCAGACGAAGGCGACACGGGCGTTCTCAGCACCAGCAGGACAAGCCGCCACGCTTCCGCAGGCTGAAGGAGCGAGAGAACGCCGCGCGCATCAACGGCGGCGTGGGGGTCATCGGTGGAGGAAGACCCACGTCTCCGGCTCTGAACTCGGTCCAGGGCAGCAACGGGGCTCCAGTTCCCGCCCCCGTCACAGGAAACGCCCAGAACCACAGCGCCACGCCGGCTGCCAACAGCTCCAACAGCCACCACCATCACCACTACACCCAGGGCAGCAGCGCCCCCGCCCACCCCCACCACAACCACGGAGCCAAGTCTCCGGACTTCACCAACCAGAACTCAGACCAGGCCAACGAGGAGTGGGAGACCGCCTCGGAGAGCAGCGACTTCACCGAGTTCAGAGAGCGGGACGGAGGAGGAGGAGGAGGAGGAGGAGGGAAGCCCTACACCCCGCACCATCACCACCACCTGGGCAGAGGAGGCGGAGGCCTGGCGGATCGCGACCTGACCAGCAAAGATCCCTCTGCGAACAAAAGGAGCTTTTCAAGCCAGCGACCCGGGATGGAGCGCCAGAACCGGAGGGTCAACACCGGTGGCGGAGGAGGAGGAGGAGGAAGGGGTCCCCGTGGCCCACCCGGGGGCGGCCCCGGCGTGCCCGCCAACGGCGGCGGGAACCGCGGAGAGAAGCGCGGCAACTGGCCGTCACCGAAGAACAGAAAGTGATGGATTTAAAAAAAAAAGTTGGATTAAACCCTCCCCTTCACATCTTAATCCCTTCAGATTATTTCACAGCTTATCTGTTGGCATCTTTAACACATTAGTGCATTGTGCAGTATATAAAGATGGTATTTATATTCACCTCCTCTCACCTCTGGCCCTGCTTCCTTATTCTTTGTACCGTCCGTTATTGTAAATTTCTCTTCGTTCGGTCTTGCTCCCCTTTCGCCCCGCCCCCTCGTTATATTTTTAACCCTTTGACTCCTCCCCTCCCYGCTGGATTATAAAAGCATGTGGTTGTGCCGTGAAGGCGCGCGCCGTTTCGACGGAGGACATTGTACACGTTCTGTTCAAGAGCACAATCTGTTTAAAATGTGGGATTAAATTGGCCAGGCTGCTTGGATTGGGCTCACTTTTATATTTGTAATTAGATTTGTACCACACTCCGGCCTCYGGTCGGGTCTGCAGTAACTTCCTTCGCAGACCGAAAGAGTGAAGAGTCATCTTTTAACATCATTTTCTGTTTTTGTGTTGTTGTTTTTTTGAAGCAGGTCATTAAGTACATTTTTACTAAACCTCCCATCTCCTGGTTTCTCTTCTGTAACGTTTGTGTGAAAAAGTAATTTCTCAACATCAGTGTTTTTGCTGCTTGTTCAGGTCTGTTTTTTTTTTTTTTTAATTGTTGACCTGCTCTGACATTTCTTTAAATATTTGTTTTATAGGAACGAAGGCTTCTCTGGCCTCCTCGTAGCATAATTCTCACCCRGCAGACAACAAGAGTTTTGTTCACCCCCTTTAAAGACTGTATCCACGGCTTTATTTGAACAGTTTTCTTCAGTTACCTCCGTTTTATGGAAACATTTTTTTCTTTTTTTTTTTTTTTTCCTTGAATTGAAATCTCGTCAGGAGGGAAAAAACGGGAAATGTAGGTCAGGATGTAACGTTTAATAAAAATGTTTATGCTTCAGTAGGTAATATTTTCTGATAAGCACTCCTCGAATGAAAGCACCCGTTTTTTTTATTTTTTATTTTTTATTTGTACTTGTGCTGCAACAGGACGTCCTTCCTGCTGTCGTCTGTGGAGCGACAACTCTTCACATCAAGGATTTTTTTTTCTGCGCGCAGAAATAAAACAATTTGTGAGATTTGACCAGAATGAGACAAATATCGGTGTTAGGATCACAACGTTAAAGATTTTAATCACACAAAGAGACTTAAAAGCAGCACCCGACGTGAACTAAATAGATTTTTCTCACCTGTATCAGTTCTGTCACTGCTGTAAGTTGGGGTTTGTTTGTATTTAGATCGTCTCCGGGACGGCGAAAGTAGGGCATTTGATGATTTTTTTTATTATTATTATTATTTTTTTTTTGTGTGTGTGTGTACGTGCGTGCTTGTGTGGATGTGTGTTTGTAATATCGGGACGGGGGGGGAGGACCAGAGTGTTTAACACGAACGGCAAGCACTTATCTGCCTCGTTTGCCCATGCGTGATTCAACTGATTTATAATTAAGACAACTCTGCTGTTTTGGTCTGCGCAGCCTATGAAAATAAGAATCTGCAGCGGGGGATTATTACTATTATTATTATTATTTTATATATTTTTTCCACCATAAACCTCTTGGCATGAAAACAGATGGGTGCTGCTTGTGTTGCCTGCTACTGGTTTATAGCTGTACATTTAAACACTGGCTCAAAGAGTCTTTCATCCCTCCTTTAATGTCCGTGTCATTATTGTATGTACCCATGTTTAAAAAAAAAAAAAACCAACAAAAAAACAAGAGAAGTAGTGTATTCCAGCAGAAATTTCTCAAAAGATTGTATTTTGTTTCCAGCATTATCGAGGTACCCTGGAGTGGTTCAAACTGTTTTTAGCATTTAAAGGTTTTAGTAAAGGAACCGTGATAAAACACACATGTATGTATATTGGTATGTATCTTTTGAGTTTTTGTCTACCCCAACTTACATTCCCACAAACAAATGTTGCAACTTTTTTAGTTCAAGGGAGCAATGTACAAGCAGAGAAGTGTCTTATTATAATAAAGTTATACAGAGAAGGCAAAGTTAAATAAAGTACTTTTGATTTAATGGAAAATGTGAGCGCGTGTCGTTCTTGGAGTGGATTATTTTCAGGAGAAAAAGTCTCATCTGCACATCTAAAAGACATTTCTGCAGCTTTGATTTATGTTCTGCAATTAGTCTTTTTAGGGTTAATCTACTGAACTAAATTAGATGTAGAACCAATGAATGCTTTAATAAAGACCATAAAAAGAGCTAAAAGCACCTAGAATTTTATCTGTAAGTAAATAAAGGTTTAGTCATTGGTGTTTGTTGTGGTTAAAAATCTAAAAGAATAAAATATTTGCCCCTTTCATACAATTGGCTTCCTAAAACAAAACTTAGATTGCATAAACAACACATTTGTATATGACAAATACCTGCGAGTGTAATACCGGAAGTCAACAGTAGGRGGCAGCAGCGAGCCGGAAGCCGCCGGAAAAAAACCAGAAGGACCTTCTAGGACCTGGTGTCCATCTTATTTACACCACCCAGACTGCTAGGTTGACGGATTCTTTGAGGCTGCATAAAAGTTACAAATCCGGGTAAGTTGAACCATGTAAGCGCGTATCTGCACAGAGAGGCTGAAACKCCGGGGCGGAGGGAGATCATGAAGGGAGGCTGTGATCATTCTGAGGTCGGGCCTGTTTTCTGATGCGGCGCAGTTAGCCGCTTAGCTCAACGAGCTAACAGTGGCTACATTCAACGTGAATAAACATATTAACTGTCTTATATAAATGTAAGTATTTGTCGTCAGTGAGTGAGATGGATTCATTAAAAACACATAAGGTGAAGGTTTCACAAAAAATACTTTAGAAATATAGTGGTTTATGAAAGATTAGCATTTAGCTTAGCTTTAGCTATTTACGTTTGAGATGCTATTTCTTATTACCAAGTCATGATAGTCATGATTAACCAGTTTAACAATCTGTTATTGTACGTTTCAATAAAAGTTAACAAATCACGTTGTTAGTAATGTGAAGCTGCTTAAAGTTAAAGCGCAATGTTGCGTTCACGTAACGTTGACAGAATGGGGAAAACACAAAACTTGTTGCACAAGGTGTATGCTAATGTATGCAATCACATGAGACAAAACTGCTCCTGWTTGTCTTAAGATGATGTGAATGTCTTTAGATTTGAAACATTAAGAAAACACAACACTTTAACAGATTTAGTGTTGATTTAATTATTATTGTTGTTATTATTTTAATTTTGCAGYTCATTAGAGATGAGCAGTTCAGAGGAAGTCTCGTGGATATCTTGGTTCTGTGGACTGAGAGGGAACGAGTTTTTCTGTGAGGTAAGTCGTCTGTGTAAACTGTAAACGTCAGCTGTCYGGCAAGGTTTGAAGGTCAAATTACTTTTACTTTACCTGCACACACATTCAGTAAACAAACCTTTGTGTGAACTAAACTGTAATCCCAAGCTGATGTGCTTTATTCCTAATTCCAGTTTAATTTCTCCAAACACAGGTGGATGAAGACTACATCCAGGACAAGTTCAACCTGACGGGCCTCAATGAGCAGGTTCCTCATTACCGCCAGGCCTTGGACATGATCTTGGACCTGGAACCAGGCATGTTTTTTTTATGTTCTCAGTTTAATACAAACAAAGGTTTTCTTCAACAACTTAGAGTCACTTTAAACAGATGAGTTCAGAAGCRTGTACCTATTTATTAGGGGTGCACGATAACTCATTTTAAGAACCAATACCGATAACTTTCTCCTTCTAATGGCCAATAACCAATAACATGCCAAGAGGTAAGACTAGTGAAAAATGGGTAGGATCATAAAATAAATAAACAAGATGAAAATCAAATGACACTGTAAATTATACTATTTGAAATAAACTCTTAGCAAACAAATATCTCTTATAATATATCAAATAAAACAATTTCTCAAATGGCCATTTTTTTTAAATAAGGCACATTAATTAAAAAGACCTTTAACACTGATCTCAGATTTAAACAAAACGTGCATCATCTGTTTTGAACTTGTGGAATGACTTTTTCTCTTTTGTTAGCTTGTTGTTGTTAGCTTGTTGTTGTTGTTAGCATTTTAGCAGAATGGTCTTTGTGCTGCGTCAGGAGTTAACAGACTTTACATGTTCTCAAATTGGGAGTAGTTGTTCCGATGTTCATAATTATAAAGTTTGTAACATACATGGTTAATTGGTAAAATAATATTAATAATTCTTAAAATGACTGGTTGTTTTTCCGCATGGAGTATTCTCATTATTTTTCTAGTGAGAAAGTTGTTTTTTCCGACGCAACTTGAACGCTGCTCGTTGTGTCGGACGGGAAGCGGCTTGGCCAAAACGGATAAAAATAAACACACATTCTCATCGCAGTGCTGACAAACATGACACGCATTATCGGTTCTGTTGTTATGATATCGGGCCGATAACTGTCGTGCACCCCTACTATTTCTGCACGTTTTAAAACATCTTGACGTGCACGGAGCGCTGCAGTTTTGCAGCTCTTAAACGGCTCAGATGTTTGTTTCTTCAGATGAAGAGCTGGAGGACAATCCCAACCAGAGCGATCTGATCGAGCAGGCGGCCGAGATGCTCTACGGCCTCATTCACGCTCGCTACATCCTCACTAACCGAGGAATCGCACAGATGGTAGGCACCAAAACCACAGCTTGTGAAAATCTCTTTTTAATGACTTTCTAATTAATGCATCGTTTATGTTGTCTGGCTTTGTGTTTGCTTCTACGTTTGTAGCTGGAAAAGTACCAGCAGGGAGACTTTGGGTATTGTCCTCGTGTCTATTGTGAGAACCAGCCGATGCTTCCTATCGGTGAGTGAATAAAAGTTTTTTTTTTTTTTCGTGTTTAACTGGAGCTAAAAGTTCTCCTCGTCCTCCACAGGCCTGTCAGACATCCCCGGAGAGGCCATGGTGAAGCTTTACTGCCCCAAATGCATGGACGTCTACACGCCCAAGTCCTCCCGGCACCACCACACAGATGGAGCCTACTTCGGCACCGGTTTCCCCCACATGCTCTTCATGGTTCACCCGGAGTACCGGCCCAAGAGGCCRGCCAATCAGTTTGTCCCACGGTTCGTACGGCATTCATATTTACTCAGACTACAGGGGTAATCCTGGGTGGAGTCTGTTTGAAGTGGCGGGGACGAGGGAATGACTCGAGAGTCAGACAAACTGTCGGGGTGGGGCGACGGTACATCGCTGCTCCCTGAAAGCAAATTCAGATGTTCTCATTTTGGTCTAAATGCTTTGTTGGACGAACAACGCGATCACCTGATGTTTGTCTCCCCCCCAACAGGCTCTACGGGTTCAAGATCCACCCCATGGCCTACCAGCTGCAGCTGCAGGCCGCCTCCAGCTTCAAGAGCCCCGTCAAGGCGATCCGTTAGAGCGACGACATCCTGAAAGAGAAACAACCGGAGGAGATGAGAGGAGAGGGGGGTCACCTGGATTTCACAGAGCTCTTCAGATGGCCCCCCTCCCCTCTTCGGAGACTGTATTATTTTGATTTAGATTAGGGTCTATATTAAAAGTGTAAAGATTTAAGTGTGAGCGAGACATGAACACACACACACACACACACACACACACACACACACACACACAC